TCCAGCTCACAACCATTAGATTAAAAAGAAACCGTCCATATAGTGACACTGGTTACAACAAAGGCCTACGCGTTCGACACATGCAAACGCTATAACCAGCAGAACAGCCTACCACCCACCCCTCACGACTGCCGAGTCACACTGTCTGCAACACGAGTCCATCGCTGGACAGGCACACCATGTTGCACTGTCAACCAGCATCTCTACCTTCCCACAAAACATGCAAAACGACACACTAAGATTATGCAGCAGGTGAACGCCGCAGAACAACCCCACACAAATCGAAGCGACATTCACGCAGAACGCGATTAAACAAGCACGAAAGCACCAACAAAGCGAGACTCGGACAACTAGTGAAACAACTGACAGATGAGAGAGACAGAGAGGGTGGAATTAGAGAGACATAGGGCTTTTAGAGAGATACAGAGATACAAAGAGATACGGAGCGTGACCCGCGACCATGTGCCGCATGCTTAGTATGCGGCTGTCTCAGAAGCCAAGCAGGTCGGATTCGTCAGCGTGGCCGTCCAAATCTCCCGCCACGCAGAGCAGGCGGCGTCGCGCGGCGATGGCATCAGGGTCATCTATAGTGGCGGCGGGAGTAGGTGGTAGGACGGGCGGGGGAAGATTCAGGTTCAGAGCATTCCCCAACTCCCTAGCCAACCTGTCGACAACCACCGGATTCCAGATGTCGAACAGGTGGCAGAGGTCGTTCGGGCTAATGCCTGTAGCCCGGGCATAGCCCACAAGCATCTCCGTGGCTTGGCGCACGATGTGCCTCATGGCCCTCGTGTGTTCGCGGCAAGTGACGATATCGAACGGGGCCTCCCGAGCAGCGGGGAGCGAGTCGGCTCGAGGTGGCTCGACGGCGAGAGGGTCGAAACCCTCGAGATCGCAAGTCGGATGGTTCTCGTCGATCGCGAGAAACTCCGACGCTGCCATCGCGACCGGCCCGAGCTGAAGGCGAGGAATGCACGCCGCCATGGCCTCCAACTCGGGCTGCACCTTGCCTGGGTCTCGCGCAGGGGATTCCGTCTGCACAGCGGCGGGCATCCAGTTCGCGGGCAGAATCTGCGCGTGCCACCAGCAGCGCTCCACCGTGCTCTGTTCGATGGAGAACCAGGCGTCATGTAGCCAGACAACCATCTCGCGTATCTTCGGCTTCATCCGCTGCAGCTCCGCCGGGCAGCCGCGCGCTTCCCACATCTGAGTGAGGACCGTGAGCTATTTCACGTGGTACCTCGCCTTGGCCGTCGCGATCTGGCCCTGGTCGAGCGGCTGGATGAAGGCGGTCGTGTTTGGTGGCAAATATACAACACGTATGTTACTCAACTTGCGGGTGCGAAAGCCACAGAGGTCCTCAGTTATGGCACCCGGAGTGGTGATGCGGTGGCACTTGCATTGTCGACGAGGAGCACGATCGAGCATCCCTCGGCGAACATGGCAGCGTTGAGCGACTCCATGTACGCAGTAAATACCTACAGGTTTAAAAAAATGGGGAGAGTCATCGCGATAAACGGAGGTGAGATAAGTGGTTACGACATTACGCTACGGCTAATTGGAATACGAGAGGTGCAGTCACAACGTAGGAGCACAAATTTGCAACACATGGAAAAAGGTAGGAGTTTGATTTGGGGGAGTTTAGATGGCGGGGCATGTTCCTTACCTCGCTCGTCATCCACCCTTTCTTGTTGTAACGCCAATGGACCCAGGGCTAGGGATCAAAATTCCCTTAATTGAAATCGCGCGGCCGTCGAACCTTGCTTATCATTATGGGCTTGAGCATCGACGAGCCGTCGGTGTTACAGGTGAAGACGACGGTGACGCGGTCCTTCGCAACTTTGCGACCGGACAGGGTCTCGTCGGTCCACGTGCGACGGGGCTGGAAGGACGTGAACAGTGCCGTCTCATCCAAGTTGTAGAGATCCTTGAGGTGCACACCGAGGAAGAGAAGCAGCTCCGGAAGCTTCTTGCGCGCCCAGTTGACAGCGGCCATGTCAGCATCTACAGCTTCGCCTTTGCTTGTGAGGCTCTTGAAACCCATGCGGTCCACAGCCTTGTGACACCAGTTCAGGGAGCATTTAAACGAGGATGGAATGCCCAAAATACGCGCAAGAATTTTGGCTTTTATCTGAATAAGACTCAACGTCAAGGGAACTCCAACAGAACCAGAATTTCTTATCCAAATCTTCAGTTCGTTCTCGAGGCAGGGGTGGTGACACCTGCGAACGCGAATGCGCTTGTCCTTGGAGGTTGCCGCCCGTTTCGCCTCGTGCTTCAAAATCTTACCGATGGTGCTTCGGTCTGGCAAGAGGCCGAACCTAGTGAAGCACCAGCGGGCAAGATCGTCGAGGCAAAGGTGCGGATTCGAAGCCGCATGCTTGCATATTTCCCGCTTGGTGACGATCGGAATCTGTACCCTACGGTGGATGCGAGGCATTGTCGGAAGTAGAGAAATGGGGTGGTTCTGGTTATGGGGTGTTGGAACAAATTTCCACAGCTGTTTGATAGCGTTCTAAATACGAACTTCTGGTGCACAGCCAAGTGGACGCTCTGCCTCGATCGCCAACATCCAAAGCTGCATGGCCAGAGGGTGTTCGGTTCCAGGCCCTGCCAGCTGGGCACCGGAGGGGGGAGTACGTGGTTACATACGTGGAGGCATGGCGCGCCATTAAACTGAGTAAATGGACCACACCCGATACCCAAAATCCAACGTGGGGTTCTTTGTGCCCAATGGAATGCGAGTGTTCACCACGCATTTCGTTCGTGCTTCGCTAAACCACCAAGTCGTATTGCACGCAATCGTAGATACTGCCCCCATTGGTTGCTTGGAAGATTTTTCTGGTCCATTGGTCACTGCGCTGGCTGGATTGTGCAACTGTACACTTATAGGTAGACACTATATAGGGGGACATAAGCAGTGTAGAACTTCAACCTGGACTGTAAAAGGTTTTCTTTCGAAACGAGTAATTTTGTAGAGAAGATAAAGTGTATCGTGGTTTTAACTGGTTATGCAGAGGCGATTCCGTCCCCTTCCGGAATACCGCAGGGAGAGGCCTACGAAAGCTTCAGTGTTGACATAAGGCCCGCGTAGACTCGCCACGGGTTCTGTGACCCAGACTTGCAAACAGAACTTGGTCACAAATCATAACCGTTTTATTTGCTATTGCCCCAGCTTTGTTTCTTTGGGCGTAACTAGAGCGCGCCGCGTGGTAGATTTGCCCTGCTGGTCAACAGCCACACTCGCATGCGTAGTGCCGATCAGCAGCATCTCTCATAGATCAGTGACGCGAACCCCCACTCCTTTTGGCAGTTTCCCCACTTACACTTGTTCCATAGAACAGTGCTTTGTACCATTCGCCACCGCACTTGTCCCACCGACTACTGTAGCTCACCTCTGTACAGCTGAAGTGAATTCGTTGGAAGAATCGAGAGATTCAAGGTGCAGCATTGAGCCCGCGGCTGCCGCGGCCAAGTGTTTTGTTTAGGTGATGAGGCGGCATAGAGACGCGTCTACAGTTCACAGTACAGTGCAGGTGATCAATGTGTAATGGCATGTTCTTCATACTTCACCGAAGCTTCGGATATGATGACGTTGCGCGCTGTCGTAATGATTCCACGTGGCAAAAGTTTCTGTCACATCCATGGTTTGTCGAGTCGATCCCTTTGGTTTACAGTACACCAACAATTTCAGTACCCATCTTTATTACCCTCTGTGTGATTTCCAGGACTACCATGGCATCGTATTAGTTAAGCATCAGACTTTGTATTGTACGGGTCGCTGTTTTGAAACACAACAACCGTTGTGTTCTCAGGTCGCACACAGAATCTGATGACAATCTTGGGCGGGTCGTCCACAGTTCTCGCAGCGCATGACCTTCATTTGCATTCTGTTCGTATCACGTGTGTCCTTGGTCACCTCGTGGATCTGTTCGATTCGCATCCCCCCCGCCTCTATGGCTAAGGCCGCGGTTACCCTACCCTGTTTTCCAGGGTTGCGGATGCTCAAGGTCGAGGATTACAGGGTTTTCAAAGAGATTTTCAGAGATTCTCAGTACGGTAAAACTTTGGTTCGCTGTCTTCGACCCTGGAAATCAGGGTCGTTTACCGCGGTCTAAGTTGCTTTGGGCTACCATTCTTTGCACTAGAACTAACTTCGCCCCAGGCTAGCTTGTAGGGAAAAGCTGGATTTCTAAGTACTAATGCACTTCTCGCCTAAGGATTCCACAGCCTTGCTATTTGGCTACTATGGCATTCAGGATAGTATAGCACATTGCCCCTAATGTACAGGGTTGCAAAAATCCGAGCTCTGATGTTTCTAGTCCCGCTAAATATATTTATGTTTTCATTATTTGATTTGAATACAGGGTGGTTTTCCTCGAAAGATTATCACTCCATCCACGTCTCTCCTGAGCTGTTCCAGAGTTTCCCCTGTCCGTGAAGTCGTTCGTGAGCCGATCCGACCGCCCCTGGCATGCACGCTCTTGTTTCTTCTGTCGCTAGGGCTTCCACTCCACAACCCAGGAGCATTTTGTTTCATCTGTATTATATTGTTTCTGTTCAGGGAAATTTGTGACAACAATTGCCCCTGAGAACTGACACAAGGTGCCAAGTGTGCCCCATGTCTGTCTATACATTCTCTTGGCAATTCCTGACTCGAGACTTTGACTCGCTTTCAGAATACGCCCTCATATGAAGAAATCTCTGTTGGCAACGTGGTTTTTATTCAGGCCCCCAACAGCCAATGGAGCAGAGGACAGCTTTTAGGTCCGTCCGTAGTCCCACAACAGTCTAGATTGACCTGTTTTCAAGGGGAAGCTGACATAGAAAATGCTGGCGCAGGGAAATTGCGGCGTGTTGCCACACCTTCACGGTCTCTGCCTTGTGTTGCTCCTCTGCCTTGCTGCTGCACTCCATTCTGGGGGCAACACAACTCAACCTTCCCAATTTCAAACCTCATAAATCACATTGCTGACCTCCATAGATCCCGTATCATTTACGTGTGTGGGTGGCTTCTATCTCACCTTCACAACGCCCTACTTCCTTTCCATTAGGATTGTCGACAATGCGACCCTACCCTTCCAATGACAGCCCTTCAGAAGCACACGTGTCAACTTTCGAGCCCACACTGTCAGCGAGCAATGACATGACAGCCTCTGGCTGTCAAAACCCGCGTAGCAGAGACTCGCTTTCCCCCGTAGACGTGCAACAAAGCCCTCAATCTGATCCGAGCATCTCACACCTCTTGCAGCAGTTGAGGCAATGGCGGCAGAACCGACGCAGCGAAGCGAGGAGCTGGTCTCTAAACGCGGCGGACTCGGCGGTACCAATGGACGTACTCCCTTCGGAGGGTCCAACATTGACCCAATCATGGAGCCCTCCCAAACGGAAGGTCCCGGAGATAACCGGCGGGGCGCCAGCTGACATGATTCTGTCAGAGGAGCACCAGCCGGCGCACAAGGAGCCGCGATGGGTCGCGACGCGGCATTCTCGCGACGACCAAGCCGCCGCGAACCGGAGGGACTTTCCGTGTGAACATGAGATCATCTCCCCTGGTGGGTACAAGGGGAGCGGACGCTGGAGGAACACTCACCAGCAGCCTGACGAGCGTCGACTCGTTACCAAACTGGTGGAAGACGCGCAAAGGACACGAGACGCGCAATGGGCGCACGACGAGCAAGGGGCGGCACAAGACGTGCGGCAATGGGCGCAATGCGCCGCACAAGAGGTACAAAGGGCGCAAGAGCCGCGGCGAGGGGCGCAGGACAGAAGCAGCGGCGGAAGCGGCGTGATGCTCTTCGGATGCAATATTTCCGCTTCCGCCGCAAACGACTTCCGAAATCCCCCCAAGGAACCGGCGGACCCCTTCACCAGTTTGGAACACCAACGCGCTGGCAGAGGAGTGCATACTTACGGCGAGGCCGCGGGTTTGTCCAACTCTGTTTGGAAAAGCGCCGTTTCCGCAGGAAAATCTACCTCTGCTGGAATGATGATCGACGACGCCGCGAATGCCGCTAATGCTGCAGATCGCGCCGCTCAGCTACCCGCTTCGAACTCCTACCCGGGAGCCCGAACCCGCCCGCAGCACAATGCAGCCTTGGACGCGACGCGTCCAGGACTCCGGCTGGAAGCGGCACAGCCGACCGCCACACTCGGCTCTGCCAGCGCATCCGCGAACCTTGGGATCGCCGACGAAGGGACTCGCGCGGCGGCGGGAATAAACCCTGTAATGCTGGCCTATGCGCGGCGACTGCATGAGACATACATACGGGCAGACGACGCGACGCCGCGAAACCCTACAGGCCACGCAAGACCTAGAACCGCACGCGAAACGCCGCCTCAAGAGGCGCCCCCGCGCTTCACTGACAGCTGGCGCGGCGCGCTCGACAGCCACGCCGCCGCCACCGCCACCACTGCCGCGGCCGCCGTCGCCCGCGGCGCAGCAGAGAGATCTCCGCCCGTCGGGGAGCGGCTGCGCTCGGTCGTGCAAGCGCTCCAGGAAGGCCCGCCGTCATTAGATTCGGACTCAAGCGCCGCGCCAACCGCTGCGGCAGGAAGCAGTGGTTTCGGGTTTGGCGGTGAATGGTCCTACACTTCCGCGGGACTCGAAGCGCTGTTCGCAGCGAACGCCACCAATGCGCCGCGTGGTGGCGCTGCGCCGGCAGGTGACGCGTCTGCGGAGTTACTACTATCGCGACACCTGCAGGACGCAACGAGAGTCGCTGCACAGGCTGGGAGAACCCTAAACCCCGCGAGTGGCGCACTCAGCCAGCCGACGGAGGTCCCCCCTGCGGCGGAAACCATCCGCAGGGCCGCCGCGCTGGCGACTGGCGGGGAAGCTGCGCCGCTGGGGTCCAGCGCCGCGCGGCGGGAAGCCGGTAGAGGCGGCGGAGCTGCTACTACCGGTGCTGCTACTAGCGGAGCTGCTACTATGGGAGACGGAGCGACAAGTGCGACGAGAGCATCGGGTGGCCCGCTCTCAGCAGGGATGGGCGACGGGGTGACGAAAGCATCGCCTCGGCGACGGTTTCGGTGCACGATGTGCGACCGGCGCTTCTCGTCGGGGCAGGCGCTTGGGGGGCACTCGCGCATGCATGCGATGCAGCGGCGCGTGCAGGACGAGAGCGGCCGCTGAGCGGAGTGACCGTAGAGTGATTCTATTGCTGATTCTCGTCGGGAAAGACGCTAGGGGGCACTCGCAAGACACGAGCAGCCGCTGAGCGGAATGCTCTGTCTGAGCGGCGACGGAAGGCGGATGGGAGTAAGTCGTTAATGCTCCTAGTCTGACGATTCTAGCCGTCTTAGATTTCACTCCCACTCTTGCGCTACTAGCGTCCCTCCTTCAGTGTTCGTCACACGACAAATGCGCAGGTGGTGTGAGGAGCAGCTCAATCGAGGAATCGAGATGTGCGAATAACAGCTTACGATGATGAAAAAAGTAGGAGCGTGCCTGTCAAGAAATGCTCGTAATGAAGCAGTGACGGGCTGCCAATGGATTTCAGGTTTGGTGATGGGAGTATGGATGTTCTCGCTATTGGGGCTGTGCCTTTCCGCTGGCGGAGAAGGCTGAAGGGCCAAGTCGTTCAGAACAAATACGCTGTAGTTTACTTGATCACGTATGTCCTATGATATAGGTTCACAATGCATAGAAGATTAGTCATATAGAGAAGCTATTGCTTATATGGGGGGTTCTTTATGCACACATTGCGTTGCAAGATAGGTCAATAGTCTTGGAACCTCTGGAAACAGAGCAAAAGGGAAGGGAATAGGGACGAGGGGGGGGGGGGAGGAGATAAGATGTGATGCTTTGTGGCCAACTAGTCTTCTGATGCTTCTGTGGCCCCATACATTAATTCTGCTAGAATCGAGTCACATCGCATCCTCCCTTCCCAACCCCCACCCCATCTGCCTTACCAAGTTGGGCTATGGGAGGCAACAATGGAAGAACCCGAGGCACGGAACGCACAGACGGCAGAATTGGACCCAACCCAAGATATGCGGGGGGCGGGGGTGAGGGAGGGATACTCCTGCTGACATATTCCCCTGATTGCATTCTCTCTTCCCACTGCACACCCCACCTCCCTTACCTATTTGAGCCATGTGAGCCAACAGTGGAGGACCCCGAGGCAGAGAACGCCCAGACGATGCGGTTAGAGCTGAGATACGCCACAGGGGCCACTCCTGCCACCCCGCTGCGAGTGAACCTGCAAAGCCAAAGGGATGAGAAACGAAAACAATTGGGACATTGAAGGATACACCTGGGGGGGGGCAGACCTGCTACCCACTCTCAACACCTACCCTGGGGACAGGACAGCACACTGTTGCTGCAAAACCACGCAGGCCCTCCAGTGATCCCAAACCGAGTGGTAGGAGCAAGTGTGCCATAGCTTAAACTCCCCTTAAGGCGAATTCCTGCGCATTGCATCAGACCCGACCTCGCACCAGACTCGCAACAAACCGAGCAGAACCGTATCAGCCTGACGCCAGGTGGGTCTAGGACATTGCGCTTCGTTCTGGAGCATAAGCTAGTCCAGGCACGCACTTAAGCAACACGCCATTGAAGCCAGAGCCCACCGACCCTCCAGAGATCCCAAACCGGGTGGTCAGCACAACCGAGCTGTAGCTTGAAATGGCGTAAGTCCTGGCGTCGCCCCCAGCTGCCCCCACGACAGCATCAGCAGGGTACATGGAGCCCCCCTTGGACCACCCCACTGAAATCCAGCCTCCTGCTGCTGCTGCTGCCGTGCCCGACTTGGCTTGCAGGGCGAAGGAGGCGCTTGTGGTGCTGAGGAGCTTCCAGTGGAGTGTGAGACTGGAGGGGGAGAGGATCGGGGAAGAGAATGGGGGGAGGGGGAGGGGGCGGAATGATGTTTAAGTGGGTGCATGCTCTCAGTCATGGCGACGGCCCCAGCTGCCCCACGAAAGCGTCAGCAGGGTACATGGACCAGCCCAGGGCGAAGCAACCTGATGCTGCTGCCGTGCTCGGCTTGGCTTGGCTTCCTGGCAGATCGAGGCGCATGCTCTGGTGCTGCTGTTCCATGCTCCATTTGCACACAACCCCATGTGACTCACCCCTTTCCCAGCCATCCACGCTTGCTGCTCCATGGAGACATGCAGCAAGGCTGGAAGCACAAGTTGAGGGCTTCAGGGAACCGAGGCAGAGAGGGGTGAGAGGAGGAGACGAGGAGGCCTCATCGCATCTTCGCAACACCACATTCCACCACCGTTTACCTAGACCCAGCTCACCCCTTAACCGTGCCTCTTACGGGAAATGAAGCCTGGAAGGCTTGACGCGAAGCAGGAGGGCTTGCAGGAGCCAAAGCAGGAGGAGGTGGGAGGGAGGGGGGACCACTTGGGCATACCAGCAGAATTTCAACTAACTCACCCCTTCCCCAGGTCAACCACTGACGTGAAGCCCGGGAGGCTCGAGGCGGAGCAGGAGGGCTTGCGGGAGCCGAGGCAGGAGGAGGAGGGAGGAGGCGAGGGGGTGCGGGTGGGAGGAGGGGGGGAGATATAGTCGTCGGAGGGAGCAGGGGTGCCATCGCCATCGGCAGCGCAGGAGAAATCGACGACTGAGATGCCCCTGGAAGACTCGTCGGAGGGAGGAGGGGTGGGGCAGAGGGGGGGAGGGAGGGTCGTAGGAGGGATCAGTGCTGCCTTCACCATCATCAGCACCATTGCCATCGCCGTTGCAGGAGAAATGGACGGTTGAGATTCCCCTGTGCGTGGAGGAGGGAGGGGAGCGAGAGTGGGGGGAGTGAGGCATGTGTTTTAGGTGCTGCTGCAACCGGCTAGGGAGGGAGCGGTGCTGCCGCCACTGTTGCAGGAGCGGTTGACGACTGAGCCCCTGGGAGAAAGTTGGGAGTGGGGGAGTGGGGGGCGGATGGAGGAATGGGGGGGGGGGAATAACCTTGAAAATCAGGTCTTTATGCAAAAAAGTTACGCAACGCAAAGCCAATCGAGGTGTCAAGACGACCAATGTACAGTAAAAGGCTAGCATACAGTGGTGATTCAAACAAAAGAACACTGGCGGGAAAACACACCGGTAGAAGGGCGGCAGCGTGGGGGTGGCTCCAGTATCCGTGATGAAGGCCCACAGCAGCTTTGAGGAGACAGGCGCGGGCCACCCACGAGGAGAGGTGTGGGCGACCCGCGAGGAGAGGTGTGGGCGACCTTTGAGTTGTCCTCACCTGTAGAAAGGCGGCAGCGTGGGATTGGCTCTGGTGTCCGTGGTGAACGCCCACAGGAGCTTGTTCTTGCCGTAGTAGTCCACTGGTACCGACCCGTCCGCCCTCTTGCGTGAAAACCTGATACGGGGAGAAGCGGAGGGGAGAAGCTTTAACTCAGGAGGCCCCTCCAAAAGTCCCCTGGTAAGGGTGGTGTGAAAACCCACCACGGCTTGTTCTTCCTGCAGTTGTCAGCTGGTACTGACCCGTCTGACTGTCTGCAAGAAAACCTGGTGATGGGAGAAGGGAGGAGGGAGGAGGGAGGAGGGAGGAGGGAGAAGGGAGAAGGGAGAAGGGAGAGGGCGGAGAGATCCGATTGGAGGCTCATGGTACCGTGTGTTGACTGCCATATGCTCACCGCAGTCTACTGAGCTGACCTTTGAGTTGACTCAGAAGCCAGACGAGAAAGGCGTCAGTGGCATGCACTCACTGCAAATCACCGCTCTCCGATGATATCTGCATCCTCCCCTCTCTCTCCCCCCTCCTACCCCCTTAACACTGTTGCATCTCCTCCGAAATACAACCTGGTAACCTGGTAGCCGGTACCTTGGTTGGTAACCACGTTGACTCACTTCATGACCGCCTTATTGAACGACACGGAGAACGCCGTTCGCCCCAGCGTGAAAGCAGCCGGGCTTGCCCCCTCCGCCCCGGGCCCGCTGATCGTGAATGCTGCCACGGTGCGCCGCCCAAACAGGTTGCCAAAGACGGCGTCGCTGGGGAAGAGGAAGCCCTTGCGCGCCCACGCCACCATGAGCCACCCGCCCCCGCCGGCCCCCGTGGTGGACGTCTCCTCCACCGCCAGCTTGAGAGTGTCCCTTGATGTGGTGGTCCAATGCAGCATGTAGCTGGGGGCAAGGAAAAAGGGCGGTGGAGGGGGGTAAGGGCAGGAGCGGCTGCAAAGAGTTAGCCCTTGCGCGCCCACGCCAGCAGAAGCTGCCTGCCCCTGCCCGCCCGCGTGATGCTTCTCTCCTCAACGGCTAGTTTCAGCGTGTCGCGGGACGTGGTGGTCCAATGGGGCATGTAGCTCGGGGGGTGAGAGGGAGGCAGAGGTGAAGCAGGGGAGTGAGGGTAACTCGGCCCAGGCAGCCCTTTCGCAAGCAGTTGTCTCGTCTCGAGTCTGAGTGTGTGTGGATGTGATGGTCCGATGGAGCATGTAAATAGGGGTGAGGGGAACAGGGGCGCGCAGAAAGAGGGAAACGGGTTAAAAATCTCTCCCCGACTGCAGCAAAGCAGCACGTGTCTGGAGCGAAGGGAACGAAGGGGGAAAAGAAGACGAAGAGGAAGAAAAGTGGCGGGGAAGGAGCATAAGCGAGTGTGGCGATTGGGAGGAGATGGCGGGCGATCAGATCCGGAAGAACGCTTGAGAGCATTCTGCAGCGTGGGGTCCACTGGAGAATGCATTGCGGCACGTGGAGGGGCAGGGGTGGGGGATTGCGAACGTGGGGCACTGGGTGAGGGGGGAGCAGAGGAATTAGGCGTGGTAACATATGGGTGGGCGAAAGGTCGAGCTGCTTCCTGTATGCGACATGCAACATGCGACATGCGACGTGCTGCATGCGACGTGCGACGTGCTGCATGCGACGTGCGATGTGCTGCATGCGACATGCGATGTGCTGCATGCGACATGCGATGTGCTGCATGCGACATGCGATGTGCTGCATGCGACATGCGATGTGTTGCATGCGACATGCGATGCGCTGCATGCGACATTCTATTGAATACAGACTGCAGCGGTGATGCTCATCCTCAAGGTCGGACTGCGAGAAAGCAGAAGGCGGGAAGCAGAAGGCGGGAAGCAGAGGGAGAAGATGAGGAGGAAGGGTGCGAATGCAGTAGAGGAGGCCGAGATGATCCTCTCATTCGACCCGTTACAATCCGTACCCGTTACCCGACAGGTCGACCATGTTGGAGTAACCCGACATCGTCGACGTCTCGCACGTCGGCGTTCGCCGCAACACCCGTCGAGACTCCCACTCGATCTCCGATCCGGCGCCCTCAGCCCGCGGGAGACGCCAGTCAACAGACTTTCTCGCCATCACCGCGGCGCGATCCTCCGCTTCCCAAAAGCCACTACCTCTAGCACTCTCAATCCCCTTAAAATATTTTTGGAACGAGAATTGGCTGCAGTTGAACAGAGCATCCCACGGCGGATGGACTGCAGCGATCGGCGTGTCTGGGCCTGACGCGGCCGATCGTATGGCTACGGAGGCAGCGATGATTATCGTGGTCTGAAGGTGCAAGATTGCGGATGTCGTGAAAGGTCTACTGGTTGCTGACGTGGCCGATGCATGGCGGCGGAGGGGGCGATTGACGGAGGGAATGCAGCGACGACGGGCGGGGTCGATGCAACGAGGAGCGACGGAGTCAGCGAAGCTAATTGAGTGAACGACCGCCATCCGAACCGCTGCGGGGAAGGAGGCTCCTCGCCAAGAGGAAGAAAAGATGGCGTCGGCGTTTTTGAGACGCCTGAATAGTCGATGGCCCAACGCTAGCACGACCTAACACGTTTCGGAATGTCTCTCAGCCGTTCTTTCCACAGTGGTGTCGTCCCGATGTGGCTTATTAATCGATGGTCGCTTGGACTGAGCGAGCCGACGGGGGGTTGAAATACCTTCCTATGAGCCGGTTAGACGAAAGCTAAGGCTGATCAGCGGTGGCTGCCAAAATAATAACGGCGTGCCTGATGGAGAGTGGTGAGGCGTGTTGGAGGGAAGCGCGGAGGAGCGTGTTGGAAGCGACAGCTGCACCAGATGGCGAATCGTCGAGATCGTTGAGGCAAGCAACTAAGGGCCGCTCATTGCAAAGCCACGCCGATCGCTCCACGTTTGTTTCTGGGAAGATGGAATGGAGAGACGAATGGACGGGAGATGCCTTCAGGGCGTGTCCAGCGCGTTCAGTTTGCCCTAACACGCACATTTTACGTCTTCTGTACATATTCGACAAAATGTTACGGGGAATGTAAATGTCGCGAGGCTCACCATTCGACCGCAGAGAGCATGCTTGGCTCGGCCTTGTGTCCAGCCTTTGACAGGACAAATGCTCTTCAAAGCGAAAAACAAATAGCTTGGCGAAATAAACAGAGTTACGTTATTACGAGCCTGGAAAACGAGGCCTCGCTTTTTTTGCCATGGCATTGACGAATTTTACCGAAAATGACGAAGTCATGTGTTTACCTTCGCCAGCCAGGATTTGCCGTTTCTGGCGGGAGTTCATTTCGGGAACGATTTCCAGCCGCTTCCGAAACGTGCGCAACACGACTGCTGGAACGCTTCGAGAGCATCCGCTGAGAACGTGCTATTTTTTTAGTGTGCCCTAAAAGACACGGATTTTAGGGTTACCACACATAAATCATGTAATTGTCAGGCCAACTGAATAGTATGCGAACGCGCTGGACACGCCCTCACTGCCAGAGCTGGTTTGCTGCTCGCTTGATGAACAGTGGGAGACAACTTACTTCCCCAAGCAACCATTCCCTCCCACCTTCTCGCTCTTCCTGCTGCCTGCTCTGCCCTGTTTCGGATGCATGGTTTTGTGCGTGAGGGCTTCCAGAAGGAATTTTGAGGTCGAGTCGCGCATGTGTGCAACGATCCACATTCTCGCGCCGTGAAGGCCAGCAAGTCGAAGCGCTATTGAAAAGCATCGGCCGTCAGATCTGGAGAACGACGACCATCCATTGGCCACCGACATGCACAGAACTCCGAGTTCCCTCGATGGGCGGGACACATTGTTTTGGGCAGAATAAAAAGCAATGCATAATACACTGCCAGGGCACTGCAGACACCTAGTCAGGCAGGTTCTAGCAGAAAAACTGCACAACCCTCGTGTAAGGGATACAAAACTAACAGGCTGCGCTCCAGGAGATTATTGTGATCGCCACACTCCCGTCCCTCTGATCCGCCCACGTCACTTGCACCAAGGCTCTTGGCGCGAGTGTGTGGCGGGCGAGCACGAGCTTGTCGTGTGGTTGGGTCGAGCAGGAAGCCACGTATTCAACGCCTTGTCTGGTGCTGGGGGTGCGAAAACTATCTACGGCTTTGAGTTGGCACAGCACAGAGCGATGAGCATAAGTTTCCTTACAGTTCAGACCGTGTACATAGTGATAGTGTTAATAGTTTTTGAGTCAAAACGTGTAATCCATATTCTACTTCAGCCTAACGGCCTTTCGGGAAACCCAGAATTCCGCCTGATTTAAGTTTTTTTTTTTTCCTAACCGCTTCATGCCTCTAACCTATAGTGTCCTCTCACGCCCCCTGTCTATATCTTCACACTTATTTTAAACAATTGCATCGTTCTGTATGAGAGACTTCATGAGATGGTTTTATTGCTACACTGGTCACGCATCCACCCGTTTCTGTCTAGGCAGCGTCTTATGAATGAACAACCAGAGTAGCGCGGAAATTAATAACGAGGTGTTGAATCACTGAACGACGATACAAGGAATGGCAAGCAAAAATATAGGAACACCAGAGCTAGTCTAACCATGAGATGTGAAGGTTCGGAAGGAAATCAAAGGGTCTCGAAGTGGCGAAGTGAGGCCCGGAAAACTCCCGAAGGTCGAGCTAGAATGTCTGGAGAAGCCGAGGCGGTTCTGTCAGAAAGGTCCGTAACCGTCCCGAGGCTTCGGGCGTGTTCGAGCGTACGCGATAGCAGTACCGCTCGATAAGGAATGGAAAATTCCTTACAACCCCCTCCCCCCCCCCCCTTAGCGAAGGTGATCTATATCAGCCACATGCTTGGAGGCCAAATAATTTACAAATATGGAAGGTGATTGTATCTGTTCCGAGGGCACCCACGTGTCGTCCTTACTGGTACGATTGGTCCGTCGTAGTCAACGCGTCGTCCTTGGCCACCGATACGAATCCTATGGCTAAAAATCTTCGAAGACTCAATTCTTGTCTCTGCTGGTGGCCATACATCCGGTACCAATCGCTGTCGAGCGATGCCCGATGTGTCAGGAACGAAGGGTCACAACAGGCTCACATGGAACTTGTTGTGAATACCCCAATCTTTAGGTACGTGCAACTGGGCGGTCACCGGCGTCACCATATTCATGATCATGAATGGGCCACAGAAACGTAGTCGTAATTTCGTCGGTAGTCACAGCTTTGTCTCGGGCAGTCTGTAATTCTTCGACGAACTTCTGCGACCGTGGTACTTGATTCTCAACGTTGGTAGAGATAGGTACTGTCGGGTCCATCCCGTAATTGAGGTAAAACGGGGAGTGATTGGTCGTAGCTAAGGGCGCGTTATTGTAGGAAAATTCATGCGTGGGAAGCACGTCCTCCCATTTGTTTCGGTCGGGGCAGTTTGTCCGAATCAGCTGCTCCATCGTTGGTTTGTCCTCTCTGTCTGACCGTCCGTTTGGGGATGATAAGCGGATGAGAATTGCTGGCGCGTCGGTACCGAGCCCACGTGTCCTACCAAAATTTCGATGTGATCTTCAGGTCTCGATTGCTAATGATTGCTGTTGATTTCCCGTGTAGGCAAACAACGGTCGAGATGAACAATCGTGCGGTTTCTTGGCTGTAATGGTTGTACGACATGGTACAAAATGCGCCATTTTCGTCATACTTGTCGACGACAACCAATACTGCGTCGTTTCTGCTGGATCCGGCTGGCAGACCTGTGACGAAATCCATCGTCGCGTGTTGCCATGAGCATTGAGGTGGCTCGAGGGGCTGCAATAGTCCTGTCGGTCTCTGATGTGATGATTTCATTCGCTGGCAGATCGGACACGCGACCACGTAACGCTGCACGTTCGTCACCATATCTGGCCAGTAATAAAACCACTACAACGCCTTCAGAGTTTTATCAATCCCGAAATGTCCCAATAAATTCGAATCGTGGACTTCTTGAATGAGTAATTCGTGTAGTGATTTGGAGATGGCCGTCATTTACGAATAAGGGATCAGTCGAATACCCGTGGGTAAAGAGTCCACTCAGTAGCGAGTTGCTCTGATTAGTACTGCTGCGAGTTGGGCAGATGGTCTGGAGAGGGCGTCAGCAATATTGTTGGTGCCCTTTTTGTACGTGATCTTGTACGTGAAGTTGGACTCCAGATAGTCCAGCCAACGTATCTGCCACGGGTTGAGATTCGGCTGCGCCCTCATTTACTGTAGGGATTTATGGTCCGTTCGCACCGTCATGTCTGCTTCAGTGAGGTAGCACCTCCATATTTTGAACGTGTTGACAACTGCCAGCATCTCCTGGCCGTGTACCGGGTAATTGCGCTCAGCAGATTGCATTTTTTTAGACTCGTACGCGATTGGTTGAAGAACATTGCCAAAATCTTGCATGAGCACTGCTCCGATGGCGATTTCACATGCGTCGGTGATGACTTCGAAGGGCCGTTCCGGGTCAGCGATGCGAAGTACGGGTGGCGACACCAAAAGAGTTTTTAATGCCTTGAACGCAGCTTGCTGCTTCTCCCCCCACTCGTAAGAAGCCCCCTTCTGCAGTAGGTCGGTTAGAGGTCCAGTTAACCCCCCCATGTTTGGTATACTGTAAATCGCCGCACATAATTCACAAAACCAGAAATGATTGCGGCTGCTGCAGATTTGTTGGCAGTTTCCACTCCTGAATAGCCCAGAGTTTTTTCGGGTCTATTTGAATCCCCTCCGTGGAGATCACGTGCCCCAGTTCTTGTTTTAAAATCACACTTAGAACCCTTGGTGATGAGACAATTTTTTTGCAACTGCTGAAAAACCGCTTCCAAATCTTTTAAATGTTGCTTCCGGGTCTTGTACAGATCATGATGTCATCCTAGTAAATTATCGCACATTTGTCGAGTAGATCGCGGAACACCCCGTTCATGCTGAACTAGAACGTCGAGGGGGCGTTCGTTAATCAAAACGACATCACCGTGTATTCGGAACTCCAGTAGCAAGTACGAAACGCGGTCTTGTGGCAGTCGTCAGCGAACACCTGAATTTGATGGTAACCGCCACGAAGGTCGATCTTCAAAAACTAGCGAGCTCCGCGAAGGTTGTCAATCAGCTCGTTCGTTCATGGGATTAGGTAGCTCGATTATATCATTACCCAATTAAGGGCCCGATAGTCCATGCATATGCGAAGTCCGCCGTCCTTCGTTGGGGTGAACAGGATCGGCGCTGAGAATGGGGACGTGCTCAGCCGAATAAACCCTCTGGCCAGTAGATAGTCAAGTTGGTTTCGTAAATCGTATAGTTCGGACTGATTCAGGCGCCATTGCGTTTGTACAGTAGGCTGCGCGCCGGGATCCAACTGGATTTTGCGGTCTTGGGGTCGTTCAGGTGGCAGTCCACTTGGTAAGTCGTCTGGAAAAATCTCGGGGTATTCCGGAATATTTTTTGCCAAGTCATCCGGGACCGAAGCGCAGAGTTTGTTGATGTCGGTCGCCTCGTTATGCTCCGTGGATTCGGTTAGATGGACGGCGTACAAATGCGCTCCATTCTTGATGGCTCGATTGAGACACTCTGCGTTGACTCGTCTTGAGGTTGTCTCTGCTTCCGGCCACGTGGGTAATTTTCGCCAACCTTTTTCGCATTTCACTGTGCACTCGCCTGTCGTCCAATCGATCTGCGGATTGAATCATCGCAGCCAATCGCGTCCCAACAGCACATCGTAGCCGTCGAGTGTTGTCGCTAGCATCGGCGCGTTGAAGCCGAAATCTTCGCCACATTTCATTTGAACGACTAATACTTTGTCGCGTATCGCCAGCGGGGTGCCATCCACCAGTCTTGCGTCTATTTCAAGCAAACACCGCTCCAACGATAAGTGTAGTCTTAGTGATGTCTCCCGATTTATCAAGCTGTGACTCGCACCTCTTTCGATGAATATATATATATATATATATATATACATATATATATACATACTCATATTTTCGTTGAGTCGTCCTTCGCCAGCACTGGGTGGTCCAGTCATGCCCCTTATTCAGCCGGGAGCGGTTGATAGCATGTATCAGAACTACCACCCGGTGGGGATGGTGTTTTTTGGGCGATGAGGCAGGGTCAGTAGGGGGCCCGACCGCTACTGACGCTTGGCGTTTCTCGTTCTCCCTTCGTCGTTCTTCTTTATCTGCTTCTTTCGGGGGCAATCGTGAGATCGGTGACCCGACTGGTGGCAGTTGAAACATTGTCCCTTGCGAAAATCTTCCATGTGCTCCTTCGCCACCATGCCATGAATAGTAGATCGTGGATCCCCGCCGCGAAAACGATTTCCCTCTTGGGAACCCACTCTCGCATACGTCAGATGCGCGTCAAAATTGTCTGCGATTCGGACTGATTCGTGAAACGTCATCGGTAGTCGCAAGCGAACATCGCATTTAACGTCCTGCTTCAGGCCCGAAATGAATTGAGCCTTCTTGTCGAAATCATATGCATGCCGGTGATTTAATCGCATAACGTAATGAAGACCGACGCGTAATCGTGGACAGAACTCCACTTGCGCCAATTATCCAGCTTCGTGCGTGCGTTGTCCGAGGCGGATATTGGCTCGAATCATTCACGCAGAGCTGTACCCCACACCTTCTACGCACGAATCTTGGTCGATCAGAAAATCGCGGTTGACCCGTGGATATCAGACCCAAAGTTTCTGAAAAACACCTGTGTGTCACCTGTCGAAACCCCCCCCTCTTGTAGTGTATATCACCACCAATCTAGTGCAGGTCCCCGTAGTAGTGATACAACCAGCCAGAATTTTTAATCGTCAGTAGTGATCCCAACGGCATTAAAATAAAGCTCCGCCGAAAATAACCAGCCTATAACAGTAGTATTCTTATCCGTGGGGTTGAACGGGGGCGGCATTGTCAGTTTGATTATCTCTGTCATCATTATCGGCACGACTGCCGGTGCAGCTACAGTAGCGGCTGTTTCTGACTGGGCGACTGCTGCTGCTTCAGCTGCTGTGCGTGTTGTCACGTCAGCCGCTGCGGCGGTTTTGTTGTCCTTACGCTCTTGAGACACCTCACGTGCGATTTCGTCCAAAACGGTTTCGACATATCCGGTGCTGGCGACCACCTCTGGGGCGGCAGCTTTCTGGCGTGAATCCTCTCCCGCATGGCGTAACTGGACAAATTCTGCACGAAGTCGCTCGTTGTCCTCCAGCACTGGAGCCATGCATGTGTTCATTGCGTTGAACTGCTCTCGAAGCTCATTGAACTGAGCTTGGTCCATTTGGCGAATGCTCCGCCGGGGCAAGAGGAAATCCGTAGTGTGCGTGCACTCAGGTAAGCACAAACACTATCATATTTGGGCGAATTAATCAGTCTAATTCGCGGGCAACCGCTTTGCAGCTTACGCGAGGGACCTACCCCCTACCCCCCCCCCCCCCCCCCCCCCCCAAAAAAAAGGAATCAACTCACGAAGATGGGTGAGCGAGGAAAGTGGCTCTGAATACCAGGTGTTATGAATGAACAAGCAGAGTAGCAGCGCGGAAATGAATAACGAAGTGTTGAATCAATGAATGACGATACAAGGAATATCAAGCCAAGATACAAGACCACCAGAGCTATTTTAACATTGAGATGTGAAGGTTCGGGAAGGAGATCGAAGGGTCTCGAAGTGACGAAGCGAGGCCCGGAGAACTCCTGAAGGTCGAGCTAGAAGGTCTGGAGAAGCCGAGGCGGTTCTGTCAGAAAGGTCCGGAACCGTCCCGAGGCTTCGGGTGTGTTCAAGCATACGCGATAGCAATACCGCTCGGAAAGGAATGGAAAATTCATTACACAGCGACATCTACCATTCGCTCCATACAATCACACCATCCCCGTCAATCTGGTCACTGCGGGCCGTACGCTGGATGGAAGTGATGGCAGCAGCCGTCCTGTGTGCCTTCAACTGCAGCGTCACTCGGCATCGTTCGTAACCGTCCATGTCAAGCGAGCGACGCAATGCAGAGTCTCCCACTCACTTGGCAGCATATGGACGGGAGCCTACGCTTGGTGCTGATTCAAGCGGGCCCACGAGCCACGAGAGCAGGGGTGTGTGACAGTGCACTGCAGCACTGCAACCATTTCAGTAGACGCGAAACTTTCGCTGCGTTCGCCGCGGTATTGTGATGCTCGCAGCAGTGTAGAGCCGCCCACCCTCACAAAACCGCGCGAAAGGTCGCCAGAAGAAGCTCCCATTCCAATACGTACAGCGAGCGCGGAAACCCTAAACGAAAGAGCGCCAACTGATTGGACGTCAAGGAGGCAGTTATGGGCTCCCTTTACAGTCCACCGAGCTCCGTGGCTTTCGCTACTGTCACCTGCGCATCGGCCCTTCTCGGCTGCGCTGGTGCAGCTCCAGCGAGTGGGAATGCGCGCGTTGTCGTCCGCGCAGCGCAGCCGCGCCACGGACCGACAGTACGCTCGGCACGCTTAGAGTCACTAAACTCTCGCGCATCCCAGCTCGGCGTGCTTACAGCTTTCCGCCTGCCTCAGTCCGCCAGGCGGCGAGCCCCGCAGCTGCGCCATTCCCCCGGACCCCAACCCGCGAGCGCCGCGCTGCAGGTGGGGCCGGTTTCTAGCAACGAGGGGAGCGAAGCCAGTGTGACTGTAGCGGGCGGCGCGGAGGAGCTGCTGAGAGCGGCCGTGGGAGCGGATGCGGCGGGTGGTGAATCGGAGCGGTTCGAGTGGAGCAAGGCGTGGTACGCCGTGGGCGTGGCGGGCGACCTGGACCCCACCCGCCCGCACGCCGTGACGGTGGTGGGCCGGCCGCTGGTGCTGTGACGCGACTCCCACCACTCCTGGCGATGCTTCCTCGACCAATGCCCGCACCGCCTCGTGCCCCTGTCTGAGGTAACCCATGCCCGCACGCACCGCGTAGTGCCACTGTCCGAGGTCAGTCAATACCTCTTTCTCACATACTGCCCACACCGCCTGGTGCCCCTGTCCAAGGTCACTCAGGCCCACACCGCCTGGTGCCCCTGTCCAAGGTCACTCAGGCCCACACCGCCGCCGCATCCGCGTGGTTCTTTCAGAGGCCAGTCGAGGTCTCCCTCTCTTGAAGCCACTGCCGCCACCGCCTCGTGCCCCCCTCCCCCCACCCCCCACACACAGGGCCGCATAGACTCGAGTGGGCGGCTGCTATGCCTGTCGCTCGCATCTCTCCCAGCTTAAATTTTGTTTCCCTCCCCCCCTTCGCTCCCCCCTTCCCTCCCCCCTTCGCTCCCCCCTTCCCTCCCCCCTTCGCTCCCCCCTTCCCTACCCCCTTCGCTCCCCCCTTCCCTCCCCCCTTCTCTCCCCCCTTCCCTCCCCCTCTTCCCCTCACAGGGGCGCATAGACGAGTCCGGCCGCCTGGCGTGTTCGTACCATGGGTGGGCGTTTGCAGGGAGTGGGGCGTGCGAGCTCATCCCCCAGGCCGCCCCAGAGCAGCCGGGCAAGCCGCCCCGCGCCCTCTGCTCCCCGCGCGCCTGCGCCACGCCCTTCCCCGTGAAGGAGATGCACGTGAGTGACCAACGGCTGGGTGGGAGCACGTGGGTGGGAGCACGTGGGTGGGAGCACGTGGGTGGGAGCACGTGGGTGGGAGCACGTGGGTGGGAGCACGTGGGTGGGAGCACGTGGGTGGGAGCACGTGGGTGGGAGCACGTGGGTGGGAGCACGTGGGTGGGAGCGCGTGGGTGGGAGCACGTGGGTGGGAGCGCGTGGGTGGGAGCACGCCAACGGCCCTTGCATACCTTGTGCGCGCCCTTATCCCCCCGTTGCCTTGACTCCTGTGTCGCCTCCATCCCCTTATTCTTCCCGTGTCTCCCCTTGCGCCTCCCTTGTGCTCCCCGCTTCACCTGCCCTGCTGCCCCACTCCCAACCCTCCCATGACCCCCCACTATCCCCCCCCAACCCAACAACCCCCATTAACCCCTTGAGCATGCTCCTTACCATTCTCCCAGCTCAATCCCTCCAGGAAACGTTCCCTGTGTGGCCTGATGGGGTGGAGCCCCCATACTCGCTCCTTCTTCTTCCCCCAACTCACTCCCCCCAGGGAGTTCTCTTCGTGTGGCCAGACGAGCACTCAGCCGACCAGGCGGAGGCCACGCCCCTCCCTCTCCCAAACGGGGTGGACTTTAACGAGTACACAGTGTTCCCCGCGTACACGCGCCGCGTGCCATACGGGTTTGAGTTTCTGGGGGAGAACTTGGCGGACCCGTTGCACTTCCCCTTCTCGCACCACGGCGTGGGCACCACCCACCGAGAGCAGGGCGGGCCCATGAAGGCGATCGGCATTCGTGAGTCGGTGAGTGAAATGGGAACGCGAGGGATGGGGGAAGGGGGAGGGGAGTCGGAGGGGGGAGGGGAGGGGAGGGGAGGGGAGGGGAGGGGACATCATGCACACCATGCCCACCATGCCCACCATGCCCACCATGCCCACCATGCCCACCATGCCCACCATGCACACCATGCCCACCATGCACACCATGCCCACCATGCCCACCATGCAAACCATGCAAACCATGCAAACCATGCACATAATGGTAGGTGGTTTCCACGGTCCCTTCCACTTGGAGAGCTCCGACGTGGGTATGTCTGGTCGACTCGAAGTTCCCCTAAGCTCCGACCTGTCCCATCTGTCCGTCTTGCATATCCCATATCATGCACGTCACACCTCCACCCCACCCCCCAGGGCATGGCTGGCTTCCACGTCCCCTTCCACATGGAGAGCTACGACCTGCCTTCAGACTTCACCTTCCAAGCCCCCCAGCTCTTCGTCTACACCTACAATTTGAGGTACTTTCACTTGACACTTGGCAATGACATATCGGCCTTCAATTCCAGGTAGTGGTCTTCCACACCCATCAGGCACCACGTCAAACATCTTCCCTGCCCCGTTCTCCCTTGCTTTCCCTCCTCACCCATCCCGGCTCCAATGCGCCACCCATCCCTGCGCCACCCATCCCCGCGCCACCCATCCCCGCGCCACCCATCCCTGCGCCACCCATCCCTGCGCCGCCCATCCCTGTGCCACCCATCCCCGCGCCACCCATCCCCGCGCCACCCATCCCCGCGCCACCCATCCCCGCGCCACCCATCCCTGCGCCACCCATCCCCGCGCCACCCATCCCCGCGCCACCCATCCCCGCGCCACCCATCCCTGCGCCACCCATCCCTGCGCCGCCCATCCCTGCGCCACCCATCCCCGCGCCACCCATCTCCGTGCCACCCATCCCTGTGCCACCCATCCCTGCGCCACCCATCCCTGCGCCACCCATCCCTGCACCACCCATCCCTGTGCCACCCATCCCTGTGCCACCCATCCCCGCGCCACCCATCCCTGTGCCACCCATCCCCGCGCCACCCATCCCTGCGCCACCCATCCCTGCGCCACCCATCCCTGCGCCACCCATCCCTGTGCCACCCATCCCTGCGCCACCCATCCCCGCGCCACCCATCCCCGCGCCACCCATCCCCGCGCCACCCATCCCCGCGCCACCCATCCCTGCGCCACCCATCCCCGTGCCACCCATCCCTGCGCCGCCCATCCCTGCGCCACCCATCCCCGCACCACCCATCCCCGCGCCACCCATCCCCGCGCCACCCATCCCTGCGCCACCCATCCCCGTGCCACCCATCCCTGCGCCGCCCATCCCTGCGCCACCCATCCCCGCGCCACCCATCCCCGCGCCACCCATCCCCGCGCCACCCATCCCCGCGCCACCCATCCCTGCGCCACCCATCCCCGTGCCACCCATCCCTGCTCCGCCCATCCCTGCGCCACCCATCCCCGCACCACCCATCCCCGCGCCACCCATCCCCGTGCCACCCATCCCTGTGCCACCCATCCCTGCGCCACCCATCCCTGCGCCACCCATCCCTGCGCCACCCATCCCTGTGCCACCCATCCCTGCGCCACCCATCCCTGCGCCACCCATCCCTGCGCCACCCATCCCTGCGCCACCCATCCCCGCGCCACCCATCCCCGTGCCACCCATCCCCGCGCCACCCATCCCCGCGCCACCCATCCCCGCGCCACCCATCCCTGCGCCACCCATCCCTGCGCCGCCCATCCCTGCGCCACCCATCCCCGCGCCACCCATCCCCGTGCCACCCATCCCTGTGCCACCCATCCCTGCGCCACCCATCCCTGCGCCACCCATCCCTGCGCCACCCATCCCTGTGCCACCCATCCCCGCGCCACCCATCCCTGTGCCACCCATCCCCGCGCCACCCATCCCTGTGCCACCCATCCCTGCGCCACCCATCCCTACGCCGCCCATCCCTGCGCCACCCATCCCCGCGCCACCCATCCCCGCGCCACCCATCCCCGCGCCACCCATCCCTGCGCCACCCATCCCCGTGCCACCCATCCCTGCGCCGCCCATCCCTGCGCCACCCATCCCCGCACCACCCATCCCCGCGCCACCCATCCCCGTGCCACCCATCCCTGTGCCACCCATCCCTGCGCCACCCATCCCTGCGCCACCCATCCCTGCGCCACCCATCCCTGTGCCACCCATCCCTGCGCCACCCATCCCTGCGCCACCCATCCCTGCGCCACCCATCCCCGCGCCACCCATCCCTGCGCCACCCATCCCTGCGCCGCCCATCCCTGCGCCACCCATCCCCGCGCCACCCATCCCCGTGCCACCCATCCCTGTGCCACCCATCCCTGCGCCACCCATCCCTGCGCCACCCATCCCTGTGCCACCCATCCCTGCGCCGCCCATCCCTGCGCCACCCATCCCTGTGCCACCCATCCCTGTGCCACCCATCCCTGCGCCACCCATCCCTGTGCCACCCATCCCTGCGCCACCCATCCCTGCGCCACCCATCCCTGCGCCACCCATCCCTGCGCCGCCCATCCCTGCGCCACCCATCCCTGTGCCACCCATCCCTGCGCCACGCATCCCGCCCCCAATGCCTTCCCAAGAGACCCCCCCATAGGAAGCTCACTGCACTGCTCCGCCTCCCAACGCTCCTGGCCTCTCACTTGACACAAGAGCGTAGTCATGGTCACGTGGTCACCTCCCCATCGAGCCAAGCCGGCTCGTGCCACGTCGAGCGGTCACGTGGTTTTTCCGGCTCGGCTCGACTCGACAGGCGTGGCCTAAAATCAGCTTAGTGGCGGAATCGCCCATCAGAATTGCGTGGGCGGGCATTTCGCCCGTCGGGTCCGCATGAGCCACGCGCAGCTCGTCAACAGGCTGAAAACGAGCCGGCCCGATCCTGGCTTGAGTAATGTTGGCATGTCGAGCTGAGCCGATGGTTCGACCGGCTTGGGCCGGCTTGGCTCGAGCTGAGCCGGTAACTAGGAATACCTGGCTCGCCTCGTCCAAGGTGAGGTGAGCTGAGGCGAGACACGCCGAGCTGGCTCGACGCATAGCCCATGTCTACCCTAACACCCTAACAACCTACCTCCCCCACCTCCTGACCTTATATGACGCCGTGGGGCCACCACCAGCAGCATCCTGGTCAGCCTGCAGCATCATGGTCAGCCTGCAGCAGCATGGTCTGCCTGCAGCATCATGGTCAGCCTGCAGCATCATGGTCGACCTGCAGCATCATGGTCGGCCTGCACCATCATGGTCGGCCTGCAGCATCATGGTCAGCCTGCAGCATCATGGTCAGCCTGCAGCATCATGGTCAGCCTGCAGCCTAAGTGGGCAAATTCGTTGGGGTCCCCCAGCGTTTTGCGTAAATTCGTAAGCGTAAATTCGCAAACGCGAATTTACCTGAAATTCGCGAAACGCTGGGGGAAAATTTTCGGGGCAGCCCGGACAAAAGAACACGAATTTCCCAACTTGATTCGCAGCGACTTGGCGAAGCCATCCGTGGCCTTGCCAATTCGCGATTCTACCTTTTGAACCTCCAAACATGCTCCCAACCCCTTCCACGCTCCCAACCGCATCAAACCCCACCGCATCTAGAGAACCCAACCCATCCACCACCCAACTTACGCAACCATATCACGCACGCATCTCACACGCTACACTACCAGACGTAGAGTAGATCTAGCTTATCACTCCGCGTCATAGCTAGAAGATCTAGTTTTAAGCATAGACATTAGCTTACCTCATGAGTATGGTTCATCATCTTGCTGTAGGTTGCTGCAGGGCTGTTAATGCAAAGGATACCCCCCAAACTCTAGAACATGCTATTGCCATAAACTTTCAGAAGCAATAATAATTTCCTGCTAAAACTTTCTTGCCTAAAAAGAGTTGCTCTGAAACCCCCCACGCCCCCCCTACCTGGGGACTTTTTTTTTGGGCCTGCCCGGGCATTTTTTTCCTGCCCGGGCGGAACGAATTTCCCAACGAATTCAAAACAGGGCCCTGGCGTTCGGGCGAATTTACTCTAGCGTAAATTCGTTAGCGAATTTACGCGAAACGCGAATTTTCCCACTTAGCCTGCAGCATCATGGTCGGCCTGCAGCATCCCAGCACCCTCCAACGCCCTCACTCTCTGCCTCCACATGTCGCCGTGTGCACCCCCACCACCATCATGGGCAGCCTGCAGGTGCTGACTGTTTTCTCCCCTGCCTGTGTATGCTCCCCCCTCGCCCTTCTCCCATTCCTCCTTTCCAACAGGCAGCAACCACCCAAGCTCCCGTTCCTTCAAAATAAGTCCGAGCCACTGCCTCCCTCTCAATGCCTTCACGCCATGCCTCTACATGCCGCCCTCAGCACCCGGCAGCAGCATCGCTGTCAGCCTGCAGATGTCAACTTCCCTGTCCCCTGCCTTCCCTGTCCGCTGCCTTCCCTTTCCCCTGCCTTCCTACCCCTCCAGCAGCAGCCAAAGTTTTCATTCGTGCAAAAGAAACCCGAGCCACTGCCTCCCAACGCCTTCACGCTGTGCCTCTACATGCCGCCGTGTGTGTGCTCCCGGCAGCAGCATCGTGGTGAGCTGCACATGCCAACTCCCCTGTATCCTTCCTTCTCCGTGCTCCCAACAGGCAGAAGCAGCCAAAGCTCCCGTTTTTTAAGAAACAGGGCGAGCAGCCTCCCGACGCGTTCACGCTGTGCCTTTAGATGACTCCGTCTGCTCCCGGCGAAAGCATCGTGGTGAGCCTTCAGATGCAGAGGCGCGGCGACGGGAAGAAGATGGGCTTCCCGATTCCGCCGTGGTCCGTGCACCTGAGGCAGCATCAGATCTATGACGGTGAGTTCTGAGGGGTCTCATTGCCGTGTGCACCTGGCAGCACATCCCTCCCTGGCAGCAGCGTGAGCCTGCAGATGCTGAGGTGCGGCGGCGGGAGGAAGATGGGAACCACAAGGGGTTGCCCACCTTCTTCCTGCCAGGTCTGTGCGCCTCTCGCACCACCGGATATGCAACACTGATGGAAGTTGATATGCAACACTGATGGAAGTTGATATGCAACACTGATGGAAGTTGATTTGCAACACTGATGGAAGTTGATATGCAACACTGATGGAAGTTGATATGCAACACTGATGGAAGTTGATATGCAACACTGATGGAAGTTGATATGCAACACTGATGGAAGTTGATATGCAACACTGATGGAAGTTGATATGCAACACTGATGGAAGTTGATATGCAACACTGATGGAAGTTGATATGCAACACTGATGGAAGTTGATATGCAACACTGATGGAAGTTGATATGCAACACTGATGGAAGTTGATATGCAACACTGATGGAAGTTGATATGCAACACTGATGGAAGTTGATATGCAACACTGATGGAAGTTGATATGCAACACTGATGGAAGTTGATATGCAACACTGATGGAAGTTGATATGCAACACTGATGGAAGTTTATATGCAACACTGATAGAAGTTGATATGCAACACTGATGGAAGTTGATATGCAACACTGATGGAAGTTGATATGCAACACTGATGGAAGTTGATATGCAACACTGATGGAAGTTGATATGCAACACTGATGGAAGTTGATATGCAACACTGATGGAAGTTGATGGAAGGATGGTGGTTAGGCGCTGATGTGATGCTGGTGCAATGGGTGGTTGAGGGATTCACGCAAAAAAAAATTCCACATCGGACAGCGTGTTCCCCCTTGATGTCCCAACGCCCTTCTCCTCATTTTTTCTGAAGAATATCAATCTGCAATGCCCGCTGTGCCTCTTGAAAATATCAATTTTCTTGAAAATATCAATTTGCACTGCCTGCCTCTTTCCTGCACCCCCAGGCACGGAGGGAGCAGCAGTTGCAATTACTGCAGACACCTAAACGTTATCCCTGTTGCTCGCCCTTACCTCCTGCATGCTGCTTGCCCTTACCTCCTGCATGCTGCTCGCCCTTACCTCCTGCGTGCTGCTCGCCCTTACCTCCTGCATGCTGCTCGCCCTTACCTCCTGCATGCTGCTCGCCCTTACCTCCTGCATGCTGCTCGCCCTTACCTCCTGCATGCTGCTCACCCTTACCTCCTGCATGCTGCTCGCAGCTCGCCCTTACCTCCTGCATGCTGCTCGCCCTTACCTCCTGCATGCTGCTCGCCCTTACCTCCTGCATGCTGCTCGCCCTTACCTCCTGCATGCTGCTCGCCCTTACCACCTGCATGCTGCTCGCCCTTACCTCCTGCATGCTGCTCGCCATTACCTCCTGCATGCTGCTCGCCCTTACCTCCTGCATGTTGCTCGCCCTTACCTCCTGCATGTTGCATCTCCCCATGCCCTCTCCCCTCCTTCCCCTTCAGGCGACGCCTACTTCCTGCACTGCCAGGAGCGAGCACTGCAGCACAGAGAGCAGCAGCAGCAGCAAGGAGCGGAGAGCGATGATGGGGGGAGTGAGCACGGCGCAGTGAGTCGGAGGGGCAGCGGATGGAAGGCGTTCTACATGCCCACGTCATCGGACCTATTTGTGGTGGCCTTGAGACAATGGCTCGCGAAATACGGGGGTATGCACTTCTGTCCATGCATCCATGCATCCATGCACCCATGCAACCATGCACCCATGCATCCAAGCACCCATACAACCATCCATCCATGCATCCATGCACCCATGCATCCATGCACCCATGCACCCATGCACTCATGCACCCATGCATCCATGCATCCATGCACCCATGCACCCATCCATCCATGCATCCACGCACCCATGCATCCATGCACCCATGCAACCATGCACTCATGCACCCATGCATCCATGCACCTATGCACCCATGCATCCATGCATCCATGCACCCATGCATCCATGCATCCATGCACCCATGCACCCATGCACTCATGCACCTGTGCATCCATGCACCCATGCATCCATGCATCCATGCTCCCATGCATCCATGCACACATGCATCCATGCACCCATGCATCCATGCACCCATGCATCCATGCACTCATGCATCCATGCATCCATGCACCCATGCACCCATGCACCCATGCACCCATGCATCCCTGCATCCATGCATCCATGCACCCATGCACCCATGCAACCATGCATCCATGCATCCTTGCACCCATGCATCCATGCACCCATGCATCCATGCATACATGCACGCATGCATCCATGCACCCATGCATCCATGCATCCATGCATCCTTGCACGCATGCATCCATGCACCCATGCATCCATGCACCCATGCACCCATGCATCCATGCATCCATGCATCCATGCACCCATGCATCCATGCACCCATGCATCCATGCACCCATGCATCCATGCACCCATGCATCCATGCACCCATGCATCCATGCACCCATGCGTCCATGCATCCATGCGTCCATGCATCCATGCACCCATGCATCTATGCATCCATGCATCCGTGCACCCATACACCCATGCACCCATGCATCCATGCATCCTTGCACCCATGCATCCATGCACCCATGGATCCATGCACCCATGCACCCATGCATCCATGCATCTTGCCCCCATGCATCCATGCACCCATGCATCTATGCACCCATGCACCCATGCATCCATGCATCCATGCATCCATGCACCCTTGCATCCTTTCACCCATGCATCCATGCACCCATGCACCGATGCACCCATGCACCTATGCATCCATGCATCTTGCACCCATGCATCCATGCACCCATGCATCCATGCATCCATGCACCCATGCATCCATGCATCCATGCATCCATGCACCCTTGCATCCTTTCACCCATGCATCCATGCACCCATGCACCCATGCGCCCATGCACCCATGCGCCCATGCACCCATGCATCCATGCATCCATGCACCCAAACAGCCATGCGTCCATGCATCCATGCATCCATGCATCCATGCAGCCGGCATCCATGCATCCATGCATCCATGCATCCATGCATACATGCATCCATGCACCCATGCATCCATGCACCCATGCATCCATGCACCCATGCATCCATGCATCCATGCACCCTTGCACCCATGCGTCCATGCGTCCATGCATCCATGCACCCATGCATCTATGCATCCATGCATCCATGCACCCATACACCCATGCACCCATGCATCCATGCATCCATCCACCCATGCATCCATGCACCCATGCATCCATGCATCCGTGCACCCATGCATCCATGCACCCATGCACCCATGCATCCATGCATCCTTGCACCCATGCATCCGTGCACCCATGCATCCATGCACCCATGCACCCATGCATCCATGCACCCATGCATCCTTGCACCCATGCACCCGTTCAACCATGCATCCATGCACCCATGCATCCATGCATCCGTGCACCCATGCATCCATGCATCCATGCACCCATGCATCCATGCATCCTTGCACCCATGCATCCGTGCACCCATGCATCCATGCACCCATGCACCCATGCATCCATGCATCCTTGCACCCATGCATCCGTGCACCCATGCATCCATGCATCCATGCACCCATGCACCCATGCGCCCATGCACCCATGCATCCATGCATCTATGCACCCATGCACCCATGCATCCATGCATCCATGCATCCATGCATCCATGCACCCTTGCATCCTTTCACCCATGCATCCATGCACCCATGCACCCATGCGCCCATGCACCCATGCATCCATGCATCCATGCACCCATACAGCCATGCGTCCATGCATCCATGCATCCATGCATCCATGCAGCCGGCATCCATGCATCCATGCATCCATGCATCCATGCATCCATGCATACATGCATCCATGCACCCATGCATCCATGCACCCATGCATCCATGCACCCATGCATCCATGCATCCATGCACCCTTGCACCCATGCGTCCATGCGTCCATGCATCCATGCACCCATGCATCTATGCATCCATGCATCCATGCACCCATACACCCATGCACCCATGCATCCATGCATCCATCCACCCATGCATCCATGCACCCATGCACCCATGCATCCATGCATCCGTGCACCCATGCATCCATGCACCCATGCACCCATGCATCCATGCATCCTTGCACCCATGCATCCGTGCACCCATGCATCTATGCACCCATGCACCCATGCATCCATGCACCCATGCATCCTTGCACCCATGCACCCGTTCAACCATGCATCCATGCATCCATGCACCCATGCACCCATGCGTCCATGCATTCATGCATCCATGCATCCATGCACCCGGCATCCATGCATCCATGCATCCATGCATCCATGCATACATGCATCCATGCACCCATGCACCCATGCATCCATGCACCCATGCACCCATGCATCCATGCATCCATGCACCCATGCATCCATGCGTTCATGCATCCATGCATCCATGCACCCATGCATCCATGCACCCATGCACCCATGCATCCATGCACCCATGCATCCATGCACCCATGCACCCATGCACCCATGCACTCATGCACCCATGCATCCATGCACCTATGCACCCATGCATCCATGGATCCATGCACCCATGCATCCATGCACCCATGCACCCATGCACTCATGCACCCGTGCATTCATGCACCCATGCATCCATGCATCCATGCTCCCATGCATCCATGCACCCATGCATCCATGCATCCATGCATCCATGCACCCATGCATCCATGCACCCATGCATCCATGCATCCATGCACCCATGCATCCATGCATCCATGCACCCATGCACCCATGCATCCCTGCATCCATGCATCCATGCACCCATGCACCCATGCAACCATGCATCCATGCATCCTTGCACCCATGCATGCATGCACCCATGCATCCATGCATACATGCACGCATGCATCCATGCACCCATGCATCCATGCATCCATGCATCCTTGCACGCATGCATCCATGCACCCATGCATCCATGCACCCATGCACCCATGCATCCATGCATCCATGCATCCATGCACCCATGCATCCATGCACCCATGCATCCATGCACCCATGCATCCATGCACCCATGCGTCCATGCATCCATGCATCCATGCATCCGTGCACCCATACACCCATGCACCCATGCATCCATGCATCCTTGCACCCATGCATCCATGCACCCATGCATCCATGCACCCATGCACCCATGCATCCATGCATCTTGCACCCATGCATCCATGCACCCATGCATCTATGCACCCATGCACCCATGCACCCATGCATCCATGCATCCATGCACCCTTGCATCCTTTCACCCATGCATCCATGCACCCATGCACCCATGCATCCATGCATCGATGCACCCATGCACCCATGCGTCCATGCATCCATGCATCCATGCAGCCGGCATCCATGCATCCGTGCATCCATGCATCCATGCATCCATGCATCCATGCATCCATGCATCCATGCATACATGCATCCATGCACCCATGTATCCATGCACCCATGCATCCATGCACCCATGCATCCATGCATCCATGCACCCTTGCACCCATGTGTCGATGCATCCATGCATCCATGCACCCATGCATCTATGCATCCATGCATCCATGCACCCATACACCCATGCACCCATGCATCCATGCATCCATGCACCCATGTACCCATGCATCCTTGCATCCATGCACCCATGCACCCATGCATCCATGCATCCATGCGTCCATGCATCCATGTGTCCATGCATCCATGCACCCATGCACACATGCATCCATGCATCCATGCACCCTTGCACCCATGCACTCATCCACCCATGCACCCATGCATCCATGCATCCATGCACCCATGTACCCATGAATCCATGCATCCATGCACCCATGCATCCATGCATCTTTGCATCCATGCACCCATGCATCCATGCACCCATGCATCCATGCATCCATGCATCCATGCTTTCATGCACCCATGTATCCATGCACCCATGCATCCATGCATCCATGCATGCATGCACCCATGTATCCATGCACCCATGCATCCATGCATCCATGCACCCATGCACCCATGCATCCATGCATCCTTGCACCCATGCATCCGTGCACCCATGCATCCATGCACCCATGCACCCATGCATCCATGCACCCATGCATCCTTGCACCCATGCACCCGTTCAACCATGCATCCATGCATCCATGCACCCATGCATCCATGCATCCGTGCACCCATGCATCCATGCATCCATGCACCCATGCATCCATGCATCCTTGCACCCATGCATCCGTGCACCCATGCATCCATGCACCCATGCACCCATGCATCCATGCATCCTTGCACCCATGCATCCGTGCACCCATGCATCCATGCATCCATGCACCCATGCACCCATGCGCCCATGCACCCATGCATCCATGCATCTATGCACCCATGCACCCATGCATCCATGCATCCATGCATCCATGCACCCTTGCATCCTTTCACCCATGCATCCATGCACCCATGCACCCATGCGCCCATGCACCCATGCATCCATGCATCCATGCACCCATACAGCCATGCGTCCATGCATCCATGCATCCATGCATCCATGCAGCCGGCATCCATGCATCCATGCATCCATGCATCCATGCATACATGCATCCATGCACCCATGCATCCATGCACCCATGCATCCATGCACCC